AAACTTAGCCTTTAATCAATGTTAGTGCTCCATTATTAACTGTTATTGTTTTAGCTTCTTGATTTTCTTTTTCCCTGGTATTGGGTGTTTGGACCCAGGTCTTATGCATTCTAGACAAGAGTCCTGTCACTGATCAAACCATTATTGTTTTAGATAACAGGAGATTTTAGAGTCCTGGATTCTTGAGGTCCTCGGATTGACTTTTTTTTTTCTAGTATCTAGGACTTAACTCCGGGGCGCTCTTCCACCAAGTTACATCCCCAGCTCTTTTACTATTTTTTATTTTGAGACGGGGTCTCGCTCAATTGCCCAGGCTGGCCTGGATCTTTTGATCCTCCCGCCTCAGCCTCCTGAGTCGCTGGGATTACAGGCGTGACCCACCACGCCCAGAGGGCCCTGGATTTTTAAAACCCAACGACCTGCAACCTCGGCCTCAGATCCCCACCAGGCAGCCCTACCTGTCAAGTGGGCAGCGCGGGCCGGACCCACCCACCTTGGCGTCCAGCGTGCGTTTGAGCTCCAGCATGTAGGAGAACTGCTCCGGGTAGATGTAATCGTAGGGGAAGTAGACCAGCAGCCCGTCCACGTTGAGCCTGGCGGCGGGGGCTAAGGGGTCAGTCCCGTCCCCTCAGCCCCTCTCCAGCCTCCACACTTCCCCGCCGTGAGGTCCGACATCCCCAAGTTTCCCAGGAGACCCTCGTCCCCCTCGGCGTCTCCTCGCTACGGTCTCCTTACCGCCCCGCCGGTCGCCGCAGCGACTCCCACCCCACTCCTCCAGTCTCCCCTCGCCCCGCCGCGTCCTGAGGCGCGCCCACCGGACCCCCATCTTCCTTCCATCAATTGTTCCTCCCATGTATCCCCCCGCTCTCGATCCCGAACCGCTAGCCCCCACTCCGCTCTCACTTCATGGCGGCGGCCGCGGCGTGCCTAGGCGCAGACCCGCCTTCCTTATGAATATTCAGAAAGGGGCGGGGACGTGGGTGTCCTGGAGGAGCCGCTCCACCTTCGTCACTCCACCATTGGCTGAACCTGCCCATCACTCCCCCGGGAGGAGCCAATCGGAATAATGCGCATGCGCACGGAGAGGCAAAGGCGGATTTCTGGGCGAGGCGGTGTCAGAGGCATTACTGTGGATCGTAGAGGACTATCAACAAAACAAGGAAGGAAGAGAGCCGAGAGAATCGATTCAATTCATTACTTGGATCTTCAGGTGAGCACAGATCTGTAGTCCCAGCAACGCACGAGACTGAAGCGGGACGATCATAACTTCGAGGTCAGCCTGGGCAATTTTATTTATTTATATTTTGAGACTGTCTCAAAATATAACTAACTAGTTAAATACATAAAATTGGCTAGGGACTTAACTTACTGGTAGTGTGGGTGCCCCTGGGTTCAATCCCCAGTAACGGGGTGGAGTGGGATGGATTAGATCTTCATGTGAATGTCCAGATTGAGTAGTGAATGGGTTCTAGGGGAGAATGACAGGGAAATTAGGGACACTTTCGAGGCCAAAAGTTCGCAATGGTTTTGCTGTGCCAGACACACATGCATTTATAAAATACCTGCTGTGTCCTAGATTTAGGATAAGTAATTTATAAATAGTTCCTCCCATGTATCCAGCACCTACTGTTTGCCACTCTGTGCTGTTTTAATCAGGAAGTAATGGAGAGGCAGTACAGTTTGGTGGCTAAGGTGTGGGCTCTGAATCAGAATACCTGGGTTCAAATTCTGACTCCACTTTCCATTAACTGTGACCTTGATGAAACTACTCTGGGATTCCACCTCAGCAGATGCAAAGAAGGAACAATTAAATAATAAGATACTTAAATGAAGGCATATAAAGCAGTTAAAGCTCCAGTTAATACAAACTAAGTATTTGATAAATGCTAGTTTCTGTGTGCTCAGTAAGTAGTTATGGGGCATCTGTTGTGTTCCTGGAACATATGTCCATGACTGCTCTGGTTACTGTCCTCAAAGAACAATACTAAGTATACAAAAAAATATATGAAGCCAGGCATGGTGGCACATGCCTGTAATCCCAGTAGCTTGGGAGCCTGAAGCAGGCGGATCTCAAGTTCAAAGCCAGCCTCAGCAACTTAGCGAGGCCCTGTCTCTAAATAAAATACACAAAGGGCTGGGGATGGGGCTCAGTGGTTAAGTGCCCCTGGGTTCAATCCCTGGTACCAAAAATAAATAAATAAGTATGATTATAAGCATGGCAAATACTGTGAAGGAAATTTTCAGAAAAACATAAAGTCTTTACTGGGGTGCCTGTTATGGTCTGTGGGGTATATTGACCAGAGTCATCAGGGAAGCCTTCCTAGAAGTACTGAGGGCAGGGCCAGGGTGACAGCTCACTGGTGGAGCCTGTGTTTAGCACTCATGAGACCCTGGGTTCAATCCTTAGGACCAATAATAAAAAATTTTAAATAAAATAGAGTACTGGAGTTGGGCAATGTGGCACATGCCTGTATTCCCAGCAGCTCAGGAGGCTGAGACTGGAGGATCTCAAGTTCAAAGCCAGCCTCAGCAAAAAGGAGGCACTAAGCAACTCAGTAAGACCCTGTCTCTAAATAAAATACAAACTAGGGCTGGGGATGAGGCTCAGTTGCCCCTGAGTTCAGTCCCCCGGTACCCACCTCCACTCCCAAAAAATAGAGTACTGGATGGACATATCCCAGGCCCTGTGCTAAATATCCCATTACCTCCCTGACATCATCTTCTACTCTTCTCTCTCCATGCTGCTCCTCCAGGCACCCTTGGGCCCCTGGTTCTGCCATCCAGGCAGCAGGCACTTGCATTAGTGAGCTATTTCTGCATAAATTATCCCCAAATATCATGGTTACAAACAACAGCACTTATCCCATTTCTTTTATTTCCTCTGTGTGTGTGTGTGTGTGTGTGTGCACGCGCACGCACGCGCGCTTGAGATGGAACCCAGGCCTCACAAGTGCTAGGCAAGTGCTCTACCACTGAACCATTTCTCTAGCTTTAAAAAAAAAAAAAAAGTTTTTTTGTGGTAGTGGGGATGGATCCCAAGAGTGCTCTACCACTAAGCTACATCCCCAGCCCTTTTTCTAAATTTTGAGACAGGGTTCTCACTAAGTTGCTGAGGCTGGCCTTGAACTTGTGATCCTCCTGCCTGGCCTCCGGAGTGCCTGGGATTACTGGCATGTGCCACGTGCCTAGCTTATTATTTGTTCTATAGATCAGGAGTTGGACAGAGCTGCAGACCTCTCAAGTCCCCATTGGGCAACATGTTACTGACCTCCCCAGGGGGTTCCTGCGGGATTCGGGTCCTCACTGGCCCCTGCCATGTAGTGTCTTCAAAGGCAACTTGACTCATCAAAACCAGAAACCTAGCCTCAGATTCTTGGATCCAGATCTTTAGGAATGATCACTGGACCCCAAAATTTAAGCCCGGGCAAGGCTATATTAGGGATTTTAGATCTGCTGGAGCCAGAAGGCAGGCAGCACAGAGCCCGTGCTGACTCCAGGGAAGAGCAAAATAGGAGGGCTGTTGAGGCCTGCACAGGAGGCAGGAACTCAGTCCCTTGATGTCATCACACATAGAGATGGTGTAAGGGTCCGGAGAAACGTCGGAGGAAGAGACCACAAGAGACCAGCTTCATGCAATGAGCAGGAGGGAGTTTATTGAAGAGGATCCTAATTCAGCGTGCTGAGGCCTAAGGCTCACTCAAGAAGGGAGAGCGGCCCAGAGCCCAGAGCAGAGGTCAAGCAGAGCTTAAGTACACTTTTTTGGGAGGGGGGGGGCTCTTTGCATACATCAGAACAAATCATCATGAGGCACGGGAAAATTGAACAACTCTGAGACATGATTAGCACATTCATTGACAGGAACAGGTCGAGTGGGGGTGATTGGTCACTCCTAAGCAGGGTACACATTCAAACTGATTGGTTGGGGCCCTGTGACAAACTGCACAGGGCCCTGGGCTAAATGGCCAGTAGGGCGTTGTCTTAACTATCTCAGGAATTTCAGGTTCTGAGTGTAGCAGAGGAACTTAACAATACCTAGTCTTTTACATTTTAATTCAGGCTTTGCAGCTTAGAAACTGCTGTGTGTTGGGCTGGGGATGTGGCTCAAGCGGTAGCGCGCTCGCCTGGCATGAGTGCGGCCCGGGTTTGATCCTCAGCACCACATACCAACAAAGATGTTGTGTCCGCCGAGAACTAAAAAATAAATATTAAAAAAAAAAAAAGTTAAAAAAAAAAACTGCTGTGTCCCCAGCTTCAGACAGTGGCAAACAGTAGGTGCTCAAAAAAATGGTAATGACTAAATACTCATGATGATCCCTACGATACTTACCAGATCCATTTCTTTAAGATGGGAAAACAGGCCCAGCAAGCAGAGAATCTTTCCCACATTTCTCCAGCGAGAAATCTAGATTTTCTTCCTTCCAAGCTGGGCTTATGTCATTCAGAGATATGAAGGGGTGCGTGGGGAAAGCTTAGGGTTTGCTCAGAGTGGCCACAGTGTCAGGCTGAGGGCTGGCGGAAGAGCTGCAGCCAGGGAGACTGGTGGGAATCAGAGGTAGGGGACCCTGGAGACCTAACCCATCCCTAGGAGACACACCACGTGACCCCTCCTTCCTGCACACCCTCTGGCCAAGTGCCAGGCAGCCCTTGCCAGGGCCTGTGCAAGGGCTCTAAGATTCTGAATCTGGAGCCTCATGAATCTCCCTTCTTAATAAAGTTAACCTACCTTGGGCACTTTGTTACAGTGTGAAAAGCTGCTAATGCATATCACTAAATAAAAGACACAAAGAAGAATGTGAAGCGTGGAAAAGAGGAAGGGAAAGGTCGGGGACTCCCCTAGAAAGTGACTATTTTAAGACCGCTTTGCCAGGGGAGGAGGCACAGCTCAGTGACAGAGCCTGCCCAACATACGTGAGGCCCCAAGTTCCATCCCCAACAAACAAACAAAAGCCCACATTTATTTGCCCACCATGAGCATTTATTGAGTCAGAACAGGATCAAAAGAGAAGGGAGTCGATTTCTGTGCAAACTACCTTTATTTATAAAGAAAACTCCCCCATTTTGTTATAAACATAAACCCAGCACTTTGTGAAGGCACTTAACTGGGGAAGGCGGGGTGAGGATCCTGGTGGAAACCAGCGGGTCTCCCCCAGACCCCAGAGCTTCTGGGGGACAAGGGATAGGAGTGACTCCCAGGGGAAGTCAGTTGGGGGGGGTCTCGAATCCCAGGCTCAGCTGGGATGGTGGGTTGGCTGCTGAGGGTGAGGAGTGATTGGCAGTCAGGGTGGGAAGCACTTTGGACGGGATCTGCTTTGGCAAATGTGGAGGATCTCCTGCCCCCAAGATTCTCAGCTTCACCCCTGGGGCCTCCACAGTTAAGGCGGATTGCTAAACTTAAGGCTGAAGTTCTCCTCCACTGGGCTTCTGGAAGAGCCGAGAAATGGTGGTGAGGGCCCCACCCCTGCAGGGTTGGGGGCACAGGTAAACAGCAGTATGTGGAGGGGGACATCTGGGGCGAGGGCAGGCTGGCTTGCTCTTGTCACCTGGGAAAACATCCTTCTGTCCGGCTAGACTTTATTCCTCTGAGGCTTCACCCTGGGGAAGAGCTGAGGGGAGCAGACCTTCAGACAGATATTGGGGCTCCAGCCCTCATCCTTCTCTATGCCCACACCAAGGAGCTGGGCTGCCTCTATCTCCCATCCCTTCCTCCCGGGCTCCTCCCAGCACTCAGAATCCCAAGTCTCTTGTCCCCTCTAAGCACCATACAAGGCCTTGGTTTCAGCAGCAGATGGAAGAGAATCTTCTGGGTCTATTAAACTGCCATAAAACGGATGCCTCCTTCTCCCTACCACCCAGCTTCTCCTGAATTAAAAGAATATTCTTGATGGGCGCTGTGGTGTACGCCTATAATCCCAGCAGCTCGAGAGGCTGAGGCAGGAGGATCTCAAGTTCAAAGCCAGCCTCCGAAAAAGTGAGGCGCTAAGCAACTGAATGAGACCCTGTCTCTAAATAAAATACAAAATAGGGCTGGGGATGTGGCTCAGTGGTTGAGTGCCCCTGAATTCAATCACCCATCAAGGAAAAAAAAATTCTTTGCAGAAATATAACAGAACCCTCACTCAACCCTGGGGGGATCTTCTAAAATTTTATAGAAGTTAGAATTCTACTCTGATTTTATGAATGGATTCTTCCTCACCTAGCTTCATGCTGCAGAATAAAACCACCTTCTGCCATGGCTGTGATAGGCGATTTCCCCCAAGATACCGGGGATTGAACCCTGAAGCACTGGACCACCGAGCCCCAGGCCTATTTATTTATTTATTGAGTCAGGGTCCAACTAAGTTGCCAAGGATTCTCAAACTTGAAATCCTCCTGTCTCAGCCTCCCAAGTAACTGGGATTACAGTCAAGTGCCACGGTGCCCAGCTATAATCCTTGAACTTTCCCCCATCACTAATAGGGGAATTTTTTAATATTTTTTTTAGCTGTACTTGGACACAACACCTTTATTTTATTTATTTAATTTTATATGGTGCTGATTATTGAACCTAGTGCCTCACACATGCTAGGCAAGTGCTCTACCACTGAGCCACAGACCCAACCCAAGATGGCATTCTTTTTTAAAAATCTTTTCTTGGGGGCTGGGGATGTAGCTCAAGTGGTAGCGTGCTCGCCTAGCATGCGTGAGGCACTGGGTTCGATCCTCAGCACCACATAAGAATAAAATAAAGATATTGTGACCACCTAAAACTAAAAAATAAATATTTAAAAAATCTTTTCATTCCTTTTTATTAAGCCTTATTGTTATATATAATAGTTGGGTTCATCCTGATAAGATGGGATTCTTTTATAACCTCCCCATCAAAATAATCAGGGATGATAATAAAAACTTTTTTTTTTTTTTTTTTTTTTGGCAGTGCTGGGAATGGAACCCAGGACCTTGAGCATGCAGACAGGCCACACTCCCAACCCAGTAAAAATGCCTGATCAAGCTGGAATCAACTCTGGATGTGGTGGCACATAACCGGGACCTTATCAGTTTAGGAGGCTGAGGTAGGAGGATTGCATGTTCAAAGCCAGCCTCAGCAATTTAGCAATGCCCCTAAGCAACTCAGAGAGACCCTGTCTCCAAATGATAAACAAACAAACAAAGGAAAGTCTGGGGATGTGGCTCAGTGGTTAAGTTCCCTGGGTTCAATCCCCAGTACAAAAGAAAAAAAAATTAAAGATTTGAAGGGGAACCCAATGGCTGTACTGGTGAGGACCCCACAAAGGCACCGGCCCTGGGAGGCTCTTCCTCACCCACTCCCCTGACTGTGGGCGACTTTCCCTTACCCCATTATTATTACCGGGGGCTTTTCTCCTCTGTCTATCAACGATGGACCCGTCCAGCCTGCCTCACCCATTCCACTGGGCTGTCCTCCCTCCCTTTCTCCTGTGAGCTCTGCCCCAAACTGCCACTGGAGGCCCTTGGGACATCTCTCTGAGCTCACCCCGAAGTAGTTCCGCGGCACGTAGCCCTCCTGGCCGTGCAGCGCAGCCCACCACCAGTCGGTCTCCTCTGGCCCGTCCCTCCGCAGGATGGTGACGGAGTCGCCCTCACGGAAGGATAGCTCGTCCCCGAACTCGGCGCTGTAGTCCCAGAGGGCGTACACCGCCCCGCTGTGCATCAGCCCCATGCTCTGCTCCACGTCTGAAAGGCCAGGATCGCCATGGTGAGAGGGCTGGGGACAGGGGCTGACCCCTGGCGCTTGTCCTAGCCAACTGGAGTTGTGCGTGCTCAGGTCAGGGGACAGGAGCCAGAGGGGAAGTCTGATGCTGGAATTGGCAGCCTCTAACATTGCAGGACACCGGGAAGCGGGTCACCGCCCTGTTCCCCTGGCGTACATTACCAATCACTCCAGCCCAAGGACCCTAAGGCCAACTGCAATCCAAGTTGCCCTTCCAGGTGGGTAGCAGAGACCCTCCGCTTGATCCCCGTGGTCCCCCTACTCTCCCTCCCTCAGGGAAACTAGGTGACATCTAGTCTAGAGATGGCACAGCCTCTAGACTCCCCACAAATGCAACAGTCCCTAGGCCCTTCCCAGCTGCATGGCTTCTCACCTGCCAGGTGTGTACTGCGGCCTCAGACAGGTGGGAGAGCCCACCTGCTCAGCCCTGTGCCGGGTCGATGGTATAGCTGGAAACTATAACTTCCCACCTCGCAGGTTGAAAGCGGGGAGCAGCACCATAGCACCATCTCCACCCCGTCTCCCCGCAGGTCTCCCTAAAAATTGGGCACGCCCTCCACTGCCACGCCCCTCCCCGTAGGTGGCCCACTCCACATCCCTCTCTCCAGAGATCCCGTTGGTGCTGCACCCATGTCCTCCTCTCCCCATGGGGCGCAGCCTGAGTTGCAGCCAGGTGGGAGGTTCAGCACCAGCCCAAGAGCCCCAGCCGGGCGCACCTGCCAGGTAGGTGGCGCAGTCAGCATAGCCATCCCGGTAGGGGTCGCATTTCTCGATGGCGGTGGCGCCATCGCTGAGAGTGGTGGCGAAGATTGCAGCGCCATGCTGCACAAGCACGGTGCAGATGGCCGTGTCGTTGCAAGACGCCGCGCAGTGCAGAGGTGTCCTAGGCGCGGGAGGCATGCGTGAGGGGGTCGCGCCAGCCCGCGGGGCCGCCCATGCTCACGCCAGTCCCCTGCGGCTTAGGCCTCACCAGCCGTGGCTGTCTGGGGAGTTGACATTGGCGCCCGCCGCGATGAGGAAGTCCACGATCGGGTAGTTGGCGCCGCAGATGGCATTGTGCAGCGCCGTGATGCCCTCCTCATTGGGCTGACTCGGGTCGTTCATCTAAGCGGGCCAGGAAGGGGCTTAGTACAGTGGATGTCACCCCACACCCGCCACCTCCAGCTCAGCGTCCCTCACCTCCTTCACCGCCTGCTGCACCACCTCCAGCTCCCCGGTCAGCGCCGCGTCCAGCAGCAGCACCAGCGGGTTGAGCCGCGCCCGCCGGGCCTTACGCGGGGAGCCCGCCTTCCGCAGCACCGAGCGCATCTCCTGCGGGACAGGGCGGGGACCTCAGAGACTAGGAGGGATTGTTAGTACTGCAAACCCATTAGGGGGAGGCCGGGGACCACAGGCTTAAGGACCAGGCAGCAGCTGCCCAGATCGCCCAAGTACCCAGGGGGAAGGAGGAGGGCTGGGATTCGCACCTGAGAGAGGTGCGTCCTGGCCCCCGTGCTGCGGTCCTCCTGAACTCTACAACAGCAAATAACTTTGGATCTTGACCCTGAGACCTGCGAGTAACTGAGAGGCTATGGAGTGGGTACAGCAAATAACTTTGGATCTTGACCCTGAGACCTGCCAGTAACAGAGGCTATAGAGTGGGTGGCCAAGTAATTCTAGACCTTCAAGATAATGAATGTGGAATCCAGTTATTCACTATACACACAGACACACGTGCACACAAATGCATGTGCATACACATATACACGACTACACAAAATAAATTATGTATTAAAAATATAGATACAGATAAAATGCCATGAAGCATGCATGACAAGTGCTACCAGGTCTTAATTCCAGAGGTTTGGGATATGAGTATTCATCATGTTATTCATGTGCTTTCTTATTTTTCATTTCCTTCTACAAGATTTATTTCTATGGAGTGTGTGTGTGTGTGCGCGCACACACACGCAGTGTTAGTTATTCTGGTCTTGGCTGTCTCCAGCATTTTAATGATTGCAAGATTCTGAAATTTAGAGATACTAAGAGGCAGTGAATCCAAAATCTTCAACTGCTCAGTTATTTTTCTTTCTTTCTTTTTTTTTTTCTTCTTCCCAGTACTGGGGATTGAACCCAGGGCCAGGTGCATGCTAGGCAAGAACCTACCACTGAGCTACATCCCCAGCTCCTTTTATTTATTTATTTATTTTTAAATTTGAGACAGGTTCTTGTTAAATTGCTCATGGTAGCCTCAGACCTGTGATCCTCTTGTGTCAGTCTCCTGAGTGGCTAGGATCACCAGTATGCCCTGTTATTTCAAGTTTCCAATATGTTGTGATTGCAGAAATGCTAAATTGTACTATTTCCTTCACTATTTTGAACTGTGGAGGGGCCAGGGTTTTGCAATCCTGATATCTATGAGAAATTTCATATTTTACTATTAGAATTTCATTGCAAAAGATGGAAGAAGATACTCAAAATGTTTATCACAGTTCGGAGTGCTGAGACTTTTGTTCTCGGTACTGATTACTGTTTTTTCCATGTTTTCTATGGTGTTTATGTATTATTTTATATCATAAAGTGTTTCTATGGGAAAGTGTTAATTTGAAATATTACTCTTGGGCTGGGGATGTGGCTCAAGCGGTAGCGCGCTCGTCTGGCATGCGTGCGGCCCGGGTTCGATCCTCAGCACCACATACCAACAAAGATGTTGTGTCCGCCGAGAACTAAAAAATAAACATTAAAAATTCTCTCTCTCTCTCTCTCCTCTCTCACTCTCTCTTTAAAAAAAATTCTCTCTCTCTCCTCTCTCACTCTCTCTTTAAAAAAAAATAAAATATTACTCTTAATAAAAAAATATGGGGGCTGGGATTGTGGCTCAGCGGTAGAGCGCTCGCCTAGCACAGGCAGGACCCGGGTTCGATCCTCAGCACCACATAAAAATAAAGGCATTGTGCTGTGTCCATCTACACCTAAAAAAAAAAAAATTGGGGGGGGGTACCAAGGATTAAATTCAGGGGCACTTGACCCCTGAGCCATATCCCCAGCCCTATTTTGTATTCTATTTACAGACAGGGTCTCACTGAGTTGCTTAGGGCCTCATTAAGTTGCTGAGTTCAATTCTTGAATTTTGTGTCTCTTCAAGCTTCTCTGTGGCCAGGACATTGTGATTCTCTGAGGGGACAATTCTCCTATTTTGAGATATCATCCTTCCCCTCTTGATCTCAGGGCCCTGAGCCTATACGTTCCTAGGCTCTACCCTGGAGAGGCTGGGAACAGGCATTCTGGGGTATCTGCTTCACCCCCACTTCTCTGGGAACTGTCCCATACACATCTACCCACACTGTGTTCAGGACAGTTCCACCGAACTATAACTCTGCCCCCATCCCCGATGCACAGTCAAAACTAAGATGGGCAAGAGACCATCCCCTGGGCAAATGACAACATCAGTGGCAGCTAACAGTGATGTGCCAGGCACCATTCTACCCACTCAATACACTAGACCTTCACAGCAACCTCAGGAGGTGGCTTGTGGGAGACCAACCTTGCACACGACTGGGCCATGTGGCCTCAGGCACCCGTGCTGCTAGACTGCCCCGCCCTTCTAGGGTTGAGTGACTGTCTCCATGCCCAGGCGTGCCTTCCTACCGCCCATGGGTGAGCTACGCTCACCTGCTCCTTTGTAATAGAGCCCCTTGCCCTGTTTAGGAGAGAATCTTCCATGGAAGTGCCTTGTGTGTGTCCCCTCCTCTTATTGTGCCCTTGGGTGTGGCCCACCCAGGTGTCAGTCCACCTGCTGACAGTGGACATCATGAAGACAGACTCAGCCCCTGAAACCTGACCCCTGGCCTCATTTGAATGGCTTCTCAGTAAAAGGGGTCAGCGCGTGCTCGCTCTCTCTCTCTCTCTCTCTCTCTTTCTTCGGACCCAAAACGTCAGAGGAGCCGTCACAGCGACCCCAAAGAAAAAGGTATTTGTGTCTCTTGTGTGGTTATTTTGCGCAGCCCAGTTAGCCCAGTTTAACTAGAGTGACCCCTGAGCCTTTTAGTCGCAAGAACAGAAACCCGGCAGTGGCTGTTATTCTCACCATTCACAAATGAGGACACTGAGGCCCAGAGAGGTTACATGTCTCACCCAAGATTGCACAGCTGGTAAGTGGCACACAGCCAGGATTCAAACACAGATGAGCCCAGCTCTATGGCCAGTGCTCTTAACCACTGGCCCCAGGGACCAGTGACTCAGTCTCCATCACATGGGAGGCTGGGTTCCCAGACTCCTGGACTAGCCCTCAGAAGAGGGCTGCTTCTCTCACATAAGGCACGTACTTGGGAGTGTTTTCTTACAGCAGCTGGCCCCAGACGCTAGCAGACACACCCGTTTCCTCCTGTGTTACTTACCATGCTCTGTGGCTGCTCTGGTGGGCTGCTCTGGGGCGGGGCTGGGGGCGGTAGGGGAGCTGGTGGGGCAGGAGCAGGGGGCCCGGCCCTGGCCTCAGATCCCTCGGTGATGGGCGTCAGCTCCGGCTCAGGCCCCCCAGGCCCTGGCCCGCCATGCCGGTGGAAGAGGCGGCTGATGATCTGCTGGTACTGCTTCTTGTGAGTAGGGGGCAGGGCCACGGCGGGGCTCTGCTCCATGGAGCCCCTGCGTTTGAGGGGTCGAGGAATCTCGGCCAGCACCCGGGCCACCTCCTCCAGCTCAGGCACCGACTGTGCCTCAGGGGGCAGCGCTGGCTGCAGCCTCGTGGGGCTGAGGGGCCGAGTTACAGCGCCTTCGTCTGCATCACCGGCCTCCAGCACTGGTGTCAGCAGCCCCTCTAGCTCAGGCTCAGCCTCCATCTCAGCAGGGGGTTTGAGGAGGCCTAGCAGGAACAAGAACCCAATCAGAGGATAAGTCCTCTGAAGGCCCCCAAAACTCTCCACAACTTCCAGGGTCTGAAATCACTACCTTATTTTCTGTGTGACCTCAGGGCAGTTTCATGCCTTCTCTGGGCTACATATTCCCTGAACTGTGAACAATATGTACTTAGGATGTGCCTGGCACTTTACATGCTGGTCTTGTTGAACTCTCCCCACTATACTATCTCCATACTATGCGAAGGAAATCTGAACCTCAGAGAGAGTAACTAAGTTACCCAAAGTCACTCTGCTGGCTGACTTCAGAATCTGTACTCCTAGCAACCATGAGGACTGGACTTTCCAAGATCTCCAAGCTTTCCTCTCCTACCATCTCGGGCAGAAAACTCCTGCCAGAAGTAGAATCCCAGCATTTAATGATCTCTTCTCTCTGCCTTATTGCTCTTTGGCAGTGGGAGCTGGGTGTGGTGGTGCACACCTTAATCTCAGGGTCTCAGGAGGCTGAGACAGGAGGACTGCAAGTTCAAAGCCAGCCTCAGCAACCTAGCAAGGCCATTAAGCAACTTAGTGAGACCCTGTCTCAAAATAAAAAAACAAAAAGGACTGGAGATGTTGCTCAGTGGTTAAGCACCCCTGGGTTCAATCACTGGTACCAAAGCAAGCAAGCAAGCAGGCGGGAGCAGTAACAATCACTTTTGTTTTCTTTTTTGGTGCTGGGAATTGAACCCAGATGCTCTTTACCACTAGACTACATCCCCAGTCATGTATAGATATATATATATTTTAAATTTTTAGACAGGATTTTGGTAAGTTGGGAGGACTCACTAAGTTGCTGAGGCTGGCCTTGAACTTGTGATCCTCCTGCCTCAGCCTCCTGAGTTGCTGGGATTATAGGCGTGCACCACCGCACCCATTGTAACAATCACTATTATGACATAATCCCTGTCACCCTCCTGTAAGGTAGATATCAATCTCTCTTCACAGATGGGTAAACAGATACTCAGACAAGTTAGGTAACTCATCCTGAGTCACACAGTAAGCCAGTGGTGGAGAGATGCAGAAACCCTCTCTGCTTAACTGCAAAGATCTCGTACCAAAAAATATTAATGATTATCCTAACAAATGATAGCTATTGAGGGATTACTATGCATTGGGCCCTATTTCAAGGGCTCGATATGGTTTTAATACCACCTCCCATAAGATGGGCTCTTATCATTGTTCAGTTTTTACACTCAAGGAAATTGAGGTCCAGAAAAGGTTAAGTGACGTCCCTGAGGTCACACAGTGTAGAAGCAAGCAGTCTTCCCCAGGGTCCATCCTTTACCATTGGACCATCCCTGGCTCCTGTGCCAATGCCCAAGTTCACCTGGCCTAGCTCTCTGAAGGGCAGTGTCTGGAAGGAGCCGGCTCTCCCAGCTAATCTGTCCCTTCATTGTCCTCCCTTCACCCAGCCCTCTAGGGGCCTGTTATTGACTCACCTTCATTCACCGGTGGCCATGTCTGTTGGGGGACCTGGGGGACTGGAGCCTGGGGTTGGGCCTGGGGCTGGGGCTGGGGCTGGGGCTGGGGCTGAGGCTGGGGCTGGGGTTGGGGGGGCAACTGGGGCTGTGGTTGGGGCTGCAGTTGGGTCTGGGGGGGTGGCTGGGACTGGGTTGGCAGCTTAGGTGGGGGTGCTCTGGAGAAGACGGAGGACCCAGGGAGCATGGCTCTGCTGGCCCCCTGTTCCCAGAAAGCGTTCTGCAGCTTGAATATCATGCTGAGGGGGATGGGACGCTGGCGAGGGGCACCGCGGGGCTGGGGGCTGGAGGGGGGCATGGGGATGCGGCTGACAGGCTGCCAGCTGCGGGGCAAAGTGCCTGACGGGGCGGCAGAGCCCAGCGAGCGACGGTAGCTGCCCACGTCTGAACGCCTGTCGTTGGCGAGAGGGGAGACCTTGTAGTTGCGGGGCAGGGTGGCGCTGGTGAGGTTGTCCTGGGGAGTAGAGGGGGAAAGTGAGCCGGGATCAGAGGCTCTTAAGGGAAAGAGGAGGAGATAGGGGCACAGGGGCGAGAAGGGAGAGGAGGAGGCAGGAAGCCAGGGGGTGAGAGAGCGGGTCCAGGAGGGGTGCAAATCAAGATAAAGAAGGAAGCGCCTGGGGAAGGGCGTGGGGCTCCGCCAGGAGGCCCCCAGCTCCCTCACCTGGCGTCCCTGGCCCCTCACCTTGCCGGTGGCCCCCAGCCCATCCAGGCTGCTCTCTCTCCAGGGCAACAGCTGCAGGCCTGGCGAGGCGGGTCGTGCAAAGACGTCCAGACCTGAAGGGCAGGAATCATTAGGGCCGGGGTCGGGGGTCCTCGCCTCGGGGGGCCCCCACTGCCCGGGCTTCCTGGCTCACGTTCGTAGCTGGCTGTCTGCGTGGATTTCTTCTCGTAAGCCACGTCCAGATCAGACTCGTTCCAGGCTTTCGGGGGTCGCCGGCGCAGCGTCAGGTCATCTGGGGCGGGTGGTTGCGCATGAGGATGTGACCGGGGACTGGACCCCAGTCCCCGTCGCCCCCCATTTGGGGCCCCTGCCTCACCTTGCGCGCGCAGAGGCGGGGCGAAGGCGCTGCCGCCCGCGCCCAGCAGGGGGCTCCCGAAGGCCGAGGGCGCGTCGTAGGCTGCTGCAGGTGGGCGCGGCGAGGGCCCGCGCTCGGGGAAGAAGGCCTGGGGCCCCTCCGCCAGAGGGCTGCCACGCGGGGAGCCCGCACGTCCCAGATAGTCGAAGGGCGTAGGGGGACCTTGCTGGCGGAGCGGGCCTGACCCCGGCCGCGGGGAGGGAGCACGGCCCAGGGGGCTGGCGGCGCCTTCGAAAGCGCGCGGCCGCGGCGAGGGCGCGCGGTCCAGGCTGCCGTAAGCATCAGGCTGCAGATAGAGCGGGGTGCGCGGAGATGATGGTCGGCCCTTTGGGGATAGAGGGCTGTAGGGGAGCAGGGCCGGAGCACTCTCGGAGCGTCCAAACTGGGTGTCTGCGCTGTCCGTGGCCGTCTTCCGGGGGGAACCTCGGCTGCCGAAAGGCTCGGGGACCGGGCTGGAGCTGTACCGGGACAGCTGTGGGGAGGCCAGGACGTTGGGGGGTGAAAGGATACATTAGTGGAGGGGTCAGGGGGCGGTGGAATCAAAAGAGATCACCAAAGGTCAACCCAGAGGAGAGCACCAGGGTGGAAATTTTGGCACAGCGAGCTCAGATGAGCTGTGCTGGGGAAGGAGCCCAGACTTAGGGCTGAGGCTAGCCTATCACTGTTTGCGCGACCTGGGAAAAGGCCCCTTTGCTTCTCGGGATCCTACAGGTCATCCACCTCCCCTGGTCCTCTCTTTCAAGTGTCCTTGAATACCTATGACCTACACAACCATTGGGGGCAGCCTTGACTGAAATCCAAGCCTCCGACCTGGGTATGGAGAGAAGAGAAGCTGGCTTCCGGGGTCAGGGCAGGAACCCGGCTCACCCTAGGGGGGACTCCGCCCTGCGGGCCAGGAGGAGCTGGCGAGTCCGACCACAGTGACTCAAGCTGCTTAGTCAGTTCGTCCACCTTGGCCGCCGCCGTATCCAGCTCCATCTGTTTCAGGTCCATGTGCTTCATGGCCAGCGCTGGGCAGGAGGGAATGAGGGTCAGGACCGGGCCTCCTGGCAGGGCCCTGCCCCCGCAAGCCCCGCCCCCGATCCCAGCTCACACTGGAAGTTCAGGTCCAGAAGGTCCCGCGCGCTCTGGAATGCCTCGCTGTCCATGGTGCCGGCCGGAGTGGGGCGCCTGCGTGGTGGGGGAGCCGTCTGAGACCTCGCCCTCGGGGACGCGGGGCGCCTCTACTCTTCGTTCCTTCCGCCAGATGTGCTTTACCCTTCCAGTTCCCAGATGGGAAATGTCCACTCCTTCAAAGCCCAGTCCATTCACTCACTACCTAGAAGTCCACATCGGTTCTAGAAGGCTTCAGACACTTTTCTCTCTTTAGCGGTTCCTTGTTCATCTCTTTATCTCTGCCCTATTAAAATGCATCGAGGGGCTGGGATTGTGGCTCAGCAGCGGTAGAGCACTCGCCTAGTGCGTGTGAGGCACTGGGTTCCATCCTCAGCACCACATTAAAAAAATAAATAAATAAAACAAAGGTATTGTGTCTGACTACAACTAAAAAAGTAAATATTAAAAAAAAAGGGGGGGGGGCTGTGGCTCAGTTCTGGAATGCTTGCCCAGAACGTGTGAGGCACTGGGTTCGATCCTCAGCACCACATAAAAATAAATAAGTGAAATGCTGTCTATCTACAACTAAAAAAATAAATAAATATAAAAAATACATCAATTCCTATTGATCATCTACTATGTGCCAATGAACATGGAATAAAATCCCCAGCCCAACACACAGCAGTTTCTAAGCTGCAAAGCCTGAATTAAAATGTAAAAGACTAATTGCACTGTCTAACACATCCCAGAGTCCACACCCATTACTTTCAGTTTAATGAAATAAAAACAAGATTGAGGGGCTGGGGATATAGCTCAGTTGGTAGAGAGCTTGCCTCGCATGCACAAGGCCCTGGGTTCAATCCCCAGCACCAAAATTGACTGCAGGGCCACTGTGCTAAATGCATTGCACGCCAAACCTCATTCCATGGTCAAAAGCACCCTAAGCTTAGAAATCTTTGTTCAATGGGCTGGGGTTGTGGCTCAGTGGCAGAGAGCTTGCCTCCCACATGTGAGGCACTGGGTTCAATCCCCAGCACCAAAATTGACTGCAGGGCCACTGTGCTAAATGCATTGCACGCCAAACCTCATTCCATGGTCAAAAGCACCCTAAGCTTAGAAATCTTTGTTCAATGGGCTGGGGTTGTGGCTCAGTGGCAGAGAGCTTGCCTCCCACATGTGAGGCACTGGGTTCAATCCCCAGCACCAAAATTGACTGCAGGGCCACTGTGCTAAATGCATTGCACGCCAAACCTCATTCCATGGTCAAAAGCACCCTAAGCTTAGAAATCTTTGTTCAATGGGCTGGGGTTGTGGCTCAGTGGCAGAGAGCTTGCCTCCCACATGTGAGGCACTGGGTTCAATCCCCAGCACCACATAAAAATAAATAAATAAAATGAAGGAATGTGTACATCTACAACTAAAAAAAATAAATAAATCCTTGTTCAAGGTCACCCTGCAAGAAGTCTATAGAACTGGGTTTCATATCAGGTTCTAACATGTTAATTCTGTGTCTTCTCCACGAGACTGGAGGAGTCCCAGAGGGCAGTGATTGCTGTTTCTTCTCCTCAAGAGTCCCCATCCAGGGGAGGCCTGGCTCACAGTGACCCATTGTTAGGAGGAGAAACAGGGAGGTGGCTAGCAGCGGATGGGCAGTTGTGGCCACTGGCCCAGTGGGAGGCCACCAGGAACCGGTCAAGCCAGCCCCATCTCCATCCCCATGGTAGCCGCCATGCCTGACAGCCCTGTCACCTCCTTGCTACATTGACCTCTTAGCTTTGGCCATAAGACGTGGGTAGCAGGGCGGGCTGTGGCATGCCGATAGCAGCCTCTGTCTGGGAAACCACGGAAACAGAACCTGTTAGAGTTGGCGGCTCATTTGGGTGTAGTGGGAGCGTGTGACCTTGGGCCATGAGTCCTCTCCACTCTGGGGCCTCTGTTTCCGCACAGTAGAAGGAGAAGGCTATCCTAAGAAGCCCATTCCATCTCTAAGAGGCCTCCATTCTGAAGATGTAGGGAACTTGAGACTGTAATTAAGGTTCTACAGAGATGGAGTCCCTCAACTTGAGAATTGTTGGAAGTTCTAAATCCAAGATTCTATCTTTGGAACATTCTAGAATTCTCTAATTTGGCTAGCCCAGAATTGTCTTCCTATTCCACTTTCTAGAGATCACACTGTCTTAGAAGTCTACAGAGAAAAAAGCGCAAGGAGCCAGACTCCCTTCTTTGGAATATGGCAGGATCTCGTTCAGACCCTGGCCAGTGTGGCTCCTTTTCCTAACCTGTAAGATGGGGATAAATAACTGTTCACCTCTTAGGACTATTGTGAGGATCCATCTGGTCTGAAGGAGCAGTAGGAATTCAGGGCTCTGGGAATTGAGGCCTCAGAAAGTAGAGGCTATAGGAATCAAAACTCGGGACTTTTAGAATCTCAGGGATACCCAGGAATCACTGCGTCTGTCAAAATATAAAAACGATCAATTCTGTGCGGCCTTCAGTGCCAGCATTCGACAGTCAGCGGTTCTTTTGGGGGACTGTGTGATTTCCGAAAGCCTAAGGTTCTCAGATTCCATGCTGACATCCTAAGGAAATGCCAGCAATGGGTGTGGGGTTGTCCTGGAGGCTGGTGCCGGGACCGCCAGAGGGCGCACTGTCACCGCCCGATCCCGGCCGGGAGGGCGGACAGCGCCTGAGCTCAGAGCCCGGGAATGCGCGGCGGGCCCGGGCAGGTGCTCACCTCCCGGGGCAGAGGAGGGGGCTGGGCGGGGCGCGAGGGCGGGGCGCGGGCCGCGTCTCTGTTCCCAGGCTCCTGACCCTGCCCTCCACCCTCAGGTCCTCTTCCCCGGGCAGCCCTCCAACTTCGGCTCCCCGTCCCGCGGGCTCCCAACCACCCCCAGGTATCCTCCCCTGGGTTCTCCTCTCCACGCCCCCTCTGCACCCCAGCCAGGTTCTTTGGGGTTAAAGATCCTGTGGGCTTCCTGGAGGAATCGTCCTCAGTAGGGACGAAATCAGGGTGTCGGAATAGGCTGGGAACACCTAGATGAGATTCCTCCAGCTCTGTCCTGGGCTGGGGCTTATTTTCCCCCTCTCTGGAACCAGCTAGGGACTTCCCCTCTCTGAGCCTCTGCCTCCACTAGGTATTTAGCTTCTCTGAACCTGTTGCCTCCTGGGTATAATGGGGGAATTAATACCTTCACCTCAAAAGGGTGTGAGGATCGGGTGACCTGATTGATCTACAGTGTTGAAATAAATTTCACACATCCAGAATTCTAAATCAACAGCCTTTCTTGGTGGTTCATTAAGATAACACAGGGTCAGGCCAAGTGAGGGCTCAAGATCCTAAGTCATTTTTCTCCCAAAAGGGCCCTTTCAACTCTGAGATTTTAAAAGTCCTAAGTTTCAATGCCTCTGGTCTCAGCTTCCTTGCCTAAGGATCACAGAGCTCTAAAGTCCTCTTGTACATTCCTGAGTTCTGCCCCGTGATCATGCCCAGTAACTTGGGGACTGGGACAGGGAGAGCCCTGAAAGACTCCAGACAGAAGCTGGCAAGAGCCAGAGTGTGGGCAGTGTTTACTCTCCAGCCTCAGTTTCCCCCTGGTAGGGAGGAGTCCTTCCCTGGGTCAGCAAGCATCCTTCATGGTGTAACGCCCAGGTCCGACTTTTGGGAGGTTGCCTGAGACTTCTCTAGACAATAAATAGGGTCTGTCCTGTCTACCTGCCAGACCTGAGCCTGGCATGACATGAGCCGTTTTGGCAGCCAAATTATTATTTTTAATTTTATTTCAGGCTGCCACCAAATGCCCTTCAAGCCCAGACATTAGCAAACACCCCCCTCCCTGTCTAATCCCCCCCACATGACGCATAGGGGTGGAGAAAAGGGGGAGAGAAAGAGGGAGGTATCTGCCTGCCCCTGCCCTCCCCCGGCCTCAAGGACAGACACCTCCAGAATTAGCCTCTATCCCTCCCTTATCTCTCACAATACCTCAGGTCATACTGTGGGAGTAGAGGTGACATTTCTCACTCAGGGTCAGGGCAAGGAGCTCTGGGAGGGAGTTTAGCTAGACAATCTGGTGGAATCCTGCACCCCACCCCAGAGAGCTGCCATAACCGGAAGGAAGAGGTCAAATCCTGACCCCCTAACGCTGCTGTCACCTCTAAGCCTCAGTTTACCAATTCCTCTTTGTGCAATGCTTCCGTGGCAGACCAAACCCCCATTCTGGAATTCTGCCCTAGGCTCTAGAATGACCTCTGCAAACCCCAGAAGTTTCCCACCCCCATGGGGCAATAGGAGGCTCCCCCACCTCCGCCAGGGGGCTCCCTGGGGCTGACATCCCTCCTCTGGTTAGGCAGGTCTGACGCCTCAGTTAATGACATGTTGGGGTTCGCTCAGCGGCACAAGGGAGGTTGGAGAACTTCCCCAGTTTTCTCACCCCCTGCCCCCACCCTAGAGCTGGAAATGCAGGGAGGGCAGGGGCATACCCTCCAGAGGGACCCAGGGTACCTGTCCTGGTCTATTTCAGAGACCAGTTTCCACTATCTCTGGCACACCCTTAATTCTGCTCAGAGACCTAGAGGCTCAGTCCAGAAGGCACCCGGAGGACGACAGTAGAGTGACCACTCTTTCCAGACGGCCCCCCCCACCCCGGTCCAAGCCTCCCATTTCTGCCTAAGATTCAGGGATCTGAGGCTCTAATATTTCCCAAAGACTCGGACTTCCAAAAGTCCGCAACTTGAGAGACTCAGCCTCCTCGAATGTCTCACTGGACCCCTTTGGACCTGAGTCCTCCATTCCAAGAACTCAGACATCCAAACCCCTTCTCCTTTCACCCAGTAATTCAGGCATCCTAGTATCCTAGTTCTCTTTTCCAGGCACCCAGGCATCTGCGCACCCCAAATTGGCCCTGGGACCCGGCGTCCAAGTCCCCTCCCACTTCCCTCCCCCAGGGACATGGTGTCTGGTTCTTTAGGGGTCGCTGGACCCCTGAAGGGTGAAACTCACGGGTCCGGGGCAGATCCTGGCACCAGGGGGTCTTCCTCCGGCTCCAGCTCCAGCTGCTGGGAGCCGAGGACGGGGCGGGGCAGGCGCAGGGAACAGGTTAGACGACGTGACTCTGGCTGGAGGGAGGCGGGTCCCTGGGGGGGGGGGCGGGCAGAGATCGCGTCAAGCACCCTGGGACTTGTAGTCCCAGAGGGGCAGGACGCAGACATTCCCATATGTATTCACTCTTAATCCATTTCACAGACAGGAAGAGCAAGACACAGAAGGGTCGAGACTCCCACCTCAGGTAGAAGCAGAAGACGAACTCCTAGGCCCTTCCTCACCCCTTCAGGCTCAGTTTCCCCTTTCCTGAGTGAAGATTTGGACGCTTCTAAAGGGGTGGAAAATTGGAGCATAGTGAAAGTCACAGGCTCCAATCCACGGATTTAAGGCCAAATCTGTAACCCCTTGGGTCTCTGAATTTCAAATCTCCGGGTGGGTGAAAAGCGGCGGAATGAACATCACAGGATTTCCCAGCAAGAGCCCAATAGGGCTAAACTACAATCCCCAGTAGCAGGCGCGACCGACGTCCGGCGCCTCGAGGCTTCGGATCCTCTGGGAATTGTAGTCTCGGAGCCCATAAGGGGCGGCTCCCCACAGTTTCTCTCGCCCACACGCGGGTCACTGTTTGGAGATCCCTGGCGGAAAGAACACTTCCCATTCCCCTTAACCCTCTGGAAAGCCGCAGAGGAAGGGGGAACCCCATGTCTGGAGTTGGATCCAAAATCTCCGCAGAGGGGGCGGGAAGCGGCGCTGACACACTGGCCAGGAATGCAGTCGGGTCACCCTGTCTAGTCACTGTCCCGCAGCTCCACCCGCCGCCCCACGCGGTGCAGTTCTGGTGGGAAGGCGCGTGGGCATGTCCCCCAAATCCGCACCCACGTGCAGCTGTTTATAGGCGCCTCGGGGCAGGGAGGGGTCGACAATGAGAACTTCTGTCCCCTCACCCTTACTCAAAGCCATAGGGGCTATTTCTCAAGCACTAGACTTGATCCCCTAGAGCATTTACGAATCTGCTTTGATCCACGAGCCCCGCCCCTTGGCCAGCACAGTTCCAGTTCCACGCGAGTCCCGCTTCATAGGCTCCGCCCCCAGACCCTCAGGCTCCTCCTCTTGTGTTTCCCGCTACCCCAGAATCCAGAAGCCCCGCCCCCTAGCTGTTACTTAAAGCCCTGCTGGGAAAATTACCCCATTCTTCCATTTTTCGAATTCTCTCTTAATTTCTAAATTTCCAAGGCATCCAAGCTTCTCCAGAGGAGATTCTAACGCTACAAGCACAGTTCTGCCACGCAGGATCCTTACCTGCTTCTTTTAGGAATCTCAGTCCAATCGATCTTCCTGTCTCTTTAAGAGTTAGAGCCTATATCTGCGACTGCCCCTTTAAGGCCGTGTCGGAATAACTCATAGCTGAGATAGTGTGGGGGAGGTTGGCCGAGACTTGGCGCGGCTCTGACTCCCGCGGCCCAGTGAGCCACCTTCTTTCTGGAGATTTTGGTAATATAGTCATTCCTTGCTGGTCCGCTCTGTACACGTGGAAACGTCCCTCATTTCTGCCCAACGGAGCAAACGGGCGCCGAGCGACACCCCCCGCGCTCCCACGCCACTTGGGCATTTCCGGAGGAGGCCCCGCCCACTTTGAGCCACGTGGTCGGCGGCGGGGTCCGCTCAAAGCCGGCTGCTGGGTCTGCGCTCCGCCGGGGGCTCGGGATGGCGGCGACCCCGTCCGCCGGTGAGCGGGCGTGTGGACCGGGGCTGGGGGCGGGGAGAAAGGGGTGCCCGGGAAAGTTCTGGCGAAAAACGGGGCATCCCGGAGACGGGGAGAGCGTACCTTCCAACGAGGGCGCTGGCATGTGGACGGCGAATACTGGGGGGGATACCCGTGGAAAGAAGGGCGCCCCCAGGGGTGGTGTGGGGACGCCCCTGGAGAAGAGGTGGGCACGGGATTGACGGGGAGGGGAATGGGACACTCGGGAGGTTGGGACTAATGGATTGGTGAGCGCCCTTCAGGATTGGATGTCAACAGATCCCCGTTTCCTCTCTTCCCTCAGGTGCTGCTCGGTTCTCTTGTCCCCCCGATTACACAGCGATACCCCCAGCCTCAGAACCCCGTTTCTCCCTGGAGGAGCTGTCTGGCCCAGATACCCAGCTGTGGCTTATCCAGGCCCCTGCAAACTTTGCTCCAGAATGGTGAGTGGCCCCACCCACCTCCCGGGAAGACTCCCCACTCCAGAGGCTGCACTTGGAGGGTATTTGGAGAGGCATTTCTGAGGAATCCAGTGACTTACAAACAGATCTGACCAAGGTTCTCCCCTCCCTTTCTCCCCTCAGCCTCAACGGGCGGCTGGTGCCTCTCTCTGGCTCCCAGACTGTGAAGGGCAAGTTGGCAGGACAGCGGCTGCGCTATCAGGTCCTCAGCAGCAGCGGTCCCCGGGCAGGAGAAGCAACCCTGCTGGCTCCTTCAGCCCATGCAGGCGGTGGGCTTACTTGTGCCCCGACCCCCCAGGGCAGCCTAAGGATCTTTGAGAGTCCCCCAAAATCCCTATCAGGGACCCCTCTGCAGCCCATCCCAATGAATCCCCCACCACAGATCCCCCCTGGCCTGAGGCCTCGATTCTGTGCCTTTGGGGGGCAACCACCAGTCACAGGGCCTGGGTCAACTCTGGCACTGAAGCCACCTGTATTGGGGAAGAGGAAGAAGAAGAAGCAGATGCCAGAGGCCGAGGCCTCCCAGGAGGCAGTGAATGGGTATGAGGCCCTGGAGGTGGACACAACTCTGAGGTCCCTCAAAGTAGATGTTGGGAAGAAGAAGAAGAAAAAGCTGCCAACAGAGGTGGCGGAACCTGCAATGACAGAGCCCACAGCTGAGCTGCTGGGGCCTCTGGGAGTCCTAGTCCCACCCACCACGAAGAAGAGGAAGAAGTCCAAAGGGGCCGAAGCAGTTGACCCACAGGTCCAAGTGCCAGAACCAGAAGGACAGATGGCCGAGCCAGAGCTGGCGGTGAAAACAGAGCCTCCTGAAGAGGCAGCCCCTTCCCCGGGCAGGAAGAGGAAGAGGAAAAAAGAGGCAGGAGTGGAGCTGGTGGAGGGGACGGTGGCCGAACCTCAGCCACAGGTGAAGGTGGAGCTGCAGGAGGAAGCCGTCCCACTGCCCCCCAAAAAGAAGAAGAAAGAAAAGAGGCAGAGCGCAGGGGCGGAGCCGGGGGCTGAGGCTGGGGAGCCAGAGAGGCCGCCTCTGGCGCTCTGTCCCCAGAAAGCAGAGCCCGAGCTGCCAGGTGACGACAGGCCTCAGGCCGAGGCAGCTCTGGTGTCCTCCAAGAAGAGGAAGAAGAAAGAAAAGTGGCAAAGTGTGATGCTGGAGCCAGCGACAGAGGTGGCAGAGTCTGAGCTGCCAGGTGACCTTGAGCCTCAAGTAGCTCCAGTATCTACCAAAAAGAAGAAGAGAGAAAAGGAGCACAAAATGACAGAGCCAGAGACCGAGATGACTGAGCCACCATGGGGGACAGGGGAGCCTGAGGTCAGCGCAGCACCAGGACTGACCAGGAAGAAACCGCGGGGTCAGGAAGGCGGCGAGGTGCCAGAGGGGGTGCCCCCAGAGGAGATTCCAGGGCCACTGCTGAATCTGGAGCCCAGGGAGGCGGCTCCCGCAGGACCAGAAAAGAAGAAGAAGCATAAGAGGAAGCCTCAGCAGGAGCCTGTGGCCCTCCCCCAGGGAAACTGAGGAACCAAACCACCCAGGGCATCAGAAGGGGAGCAGAGCGACGAACCCAGAACCTGCCCCAGCAACCCAGCAGGAGCCTGGCCCCAGAGAATGCTTTATTGTCACGCTGGAGGTGGCAGCTGTTCATCGGGGCACTTTGAGGAAGGGCTCGTGGAGGACATCAAACAGCCTGCGGGCCTGGGGTGGGGAGCGAAAGGAACCACTCATTAAAGAGGCCACGTGGAGTGAGGTGTTGGCTTTTTCTCCCAGCCTGCAGGGTCGGGGAGATGGGAGGGAGGCAGCCCATCTGGATTGTCCCCTAGACTGGCTGTGCGAGGCTCAGCTAGTCCCCACCCCCTTGGACAGGTCTGGCCATCTGCAACACAGGCAGGTGGGGCGGGGGCTCAGCGGTAGAGCGCTTGCCTACCATGTGTGGGGCCCTGGGTTCCATCCTCAGGACCACGTGAGAATAAATAAATAAATAAAGGTACTCTGTCTATCTACAACTTAAAAAATAAAAATAAATACAGGCAGATGGTTGCTGGGCCTCTGCAGACTTTTGAACGCTGGGATCCGAGGTCTGGTTGGTGGGGTCCCTCCCCTCAAGTCCCTTCCCAGCACTCTTACCTTCTGGGGGCCCAGGCCCGGACACAAGGCCAGGTCTTCCCGTGATGCAGACATGAGCTGTTCCAGGGACTGGGAGGGTGGAGGCAAAGGGTCAGGGCAGGTGAACACTGGACCCCACCCGGGCCCAGCTGGTGAAGGGCCTTGGGTGCTCCTGGGGGGACGCGAGGAATGCAGGGGACTGGGATGCAGCAGGGTGTGGGCTTCTTAGGAAAGGGAAGGAGGGGAAGCGCCTGGCAGAGCAGGGCAGCTGGTCCTTACTCCAAAAGTGGCCAAGAGGGTCTGACTGTCCGTCTTGTTGACTGACTTCACGGTGGTCAGACATTCAGTGACCTGGAAGGAAGCAGCAGAAAGCCCAGTAAGACAGAGCTCGGAGGGCAGGGCTGGGCCACTGCGGGGTCCCCAGACTGCCTACAGTGCAAGAGGCTCTCAGTAAATGTTTTATTTTTTTCTGGGGGAGGACTGATTAAAAGGCCATATCAGAGTGATCCCAACTAGCCAAGGGTGTGGGACACGTGAGATCAATCCTGCTTATCTGAAGGAGCTGGTTCCACTCAGGGAAGACTGCAGGCACCGGGGTGAGGGGGGGCCCAGGGTACAAAACCAGTCCATCACCACCTGTCCCTGCATGAGCCAGGGTAAGGGAGCTGACCGCTCTGGCCTCCATTTTTGGGCAAATTAGGTTCCCAGGAATCCCAGAAGACTCGGGTGTCTGTGGACATGGACTGGGGTGCAGCTTAGATGCTGCCCTGCCCCAGCACTGTGACGGCCGCGTGCCTGGGTGTACAGACCCCAGCCCTGCCAGTCCCTAGCTGTGGGACCTGGGGAAGTCACTTCCTCCCTGCCTCAGGAGGTGGGTTCGGAACTGCTGTGCAGGCTTAGAGGAGGAGGCTGGGAGGCTGGGATGCAGGAGCTGTGGCCAGCAGGATCCAACTGACCCAGGCCCTCCTGCTGTCACTTCTTCCTAGGAGGACCTCCAGGGAAGGCACCAGTGGCAGTGTCCCTCACTGGAGCCCAGAGTTGACAGTCCACCGAGCAAATACTCCCTGAGTGCCTACTGAGCGCTGGGGGTGCTGGGGACAGGACAGGCTTGGAGTCACCTCCAGCCCTGCCCTCCTGTGCTGAAGTCCAGTGGGGAGATAGGGGGCAGGCCTGGGACAGGGGAGCACAGGGAGAACCTCTGCTGGCTGGGGTTGGGGAGGGCTTCCTGGAGGAGGGAACATCAGAGCTGGGATGCCCGACGGGATGAGGCAGGTTACTGGGTGGAGGGAACAACACGGAAGCTCAGAGAGATGCGGAAGGCCCGGGAGGACACAGGTCCTGCGCAGCTCTGCAAGGCCGGGCTTTCCCTCAGGGCACTGGGAGCCAGGGCAGGGTTGGGAGCTGGGAAGAACAGGGTCAGTGTTATGCTTAGAAGACTACGCTGGGAGCTGTTGAGTGGGAAGGCAGAGGGGGACAGGGTAGGGAGGGAGAGCCCAGGTGGACTCGCCTTGGGACCAGAACTATGTTTGGCCACCCAGGAGCTGCAGGGAGACCCAGGCAGGCATGGGAGGTGCCTGGAGGGAGGGAGGGAGGCCTCACCCGAGACACAAAGTTCTGTTCCAGCTTCTCCATCAGAAGGTCCGCAGGCTTCTGCTCGTAGGCTTTGTAGGTCTCCAGGTAGCGCCCGGCCTCCTCGGGGCTGAGGTGACAGGACACAGATCAGCCAAGTGAGAGCCATCATGTTCTAGATGGGCTCCATTTCACAGTCGTGATTGCTAATGCTGTAAATTCCAAACGCTAACATATACAAAAATGGAAGTTCTCAGCTCCCCCATGGCCCTGGCCAGAATCCCTGCTGGATCTGGGGATCTCTGTGGTTCTCCTCTGGCTCAGGGCTAGAGCCTGGAAGCCCAACAGGCTGGGGCTCAGGCTGGGCTCAGGCCTCACTTCCAACCTGGGTGACCTTAGGCCAGTGATTTTATTGCTGTGGACCTCTGTTTCCTCATCTGTAAAGTTGAGTGATA